CCCCCCCCCCCCCCTCTCCTCTGGCCAACCAAGAAAAGCCCGCCCATCATGGTGCACACCAGACACATGTGTGTATGTTCCGCCCATTGCGTCGAACCAACACATGTATCCATCCATATGCCGACATTCACTCACGCACACGCGGCATCGCATCACGTAGTACACCTATGCATGTTTGCTCTTCTTGGAGCCGGCCGTCTTGCCTCCGCTGCCAGTGCCGCCAAGGGATGGCAGATTCTTCGGCAACGAGCTCACGTCTGCACCAAACACACAGCCGATGGATCGGTGGAGTGGTGGAGGGGTGGATATGGGTGGGCGGTTGAGTGCAGGCAGCTCACAGACCGAGTAGTTTGGCCCAGTCGATGTTCTTTGGCCCTTTGAGGACGACGTAAAGGCCCATGAGGTAGATGAGGTTGAGCACCAAGTAGAGGAAATCGAACCACACGGGTTTTGTCCGATGCGCCTTGATGCTCACAGGGAAGTCCTGCAGACAATCGGCAACGCCAAACACCCTTAGACAGACACTACATCATGATGTGGTTTGGAGAGAGAAGAGGGGCGTACCGTGTAGTAGGTGTTGACTTCGCTGGGCGCGATGAAGGCCTGCCGCTGCACCTCCTTCAGGTAACCCCCTAGCGCCTACACACACACACACACACAACACACACAACACACCATCCAGACGCAGACATGAAGGATTGCAGCTGCCGATCCTCAAAGTTGTTAGTACTTACCTCTTCGAGCTGCAGCATGAAGGGTGATTTGGGTTTGAGCAAGGGGTAGAACCTGGGCGTGGTGGACAGCAGCCGCTGCCACGACCTGATGTAGTCCTCATTCACAGACAAGGTGCCCTCAAACACCTACACCACACACGCACAGACAGACAGACAGACAGGCAGCCACATGGTTTGTGAGAAGGCGTGTTCTCTGTGGTGATTAGTCGACCTCAATGTCGGTGTCGTCTATGCCGTATATGTGCAGTGCGAGCGTCTCCGCCACAAACCGGATGCGGTGCATCAGACGTGCCCTCGCCGCGTCCGAGAAGCTGAGGCAACAAAACCGACCACGGAGAAGACACAAGTTGCCCCTTGTTCGTGTGTGTGTGTCGGTGCGTGGCAGCTCACTCTTGGTCGAAGAGCGAGCTGCGTATGAAGATTGGTGCCGGCTCTGAAGGCACAATACGGTATCATGCACACGGGTTCAGATGGGTGTGCTGTTGCTGGGTATGTCTCACCCCTGACATGGGACAAGGTGCCGCTCGCCACCTTGTATCTGAGCAACCGACCGACATATGCACGCCACGCACCAACAGGCAAATAGGAATGCTAGTCTTGCTGGCGTTCAGGTCGCTCCCTCCCTCCCGCCCGCCCTCCCTCCCTCCCTCCCTCCCTCACCGTGCGAACTGTTCATGTTGCCATGGCACCACAGGATCGTTGATTCTGACCAACCAGACAAGGAACGAAAGGACGCCCAGAGAGAGTTGCAGATCACACACAGACAGAACAGGCACGTGTCGCTGTTGCTGTTGCCGGGTACTTGATCTTTTTGGTCTTGAGATCGAAGTCGATCTTCATCCGCTCAGCCACAGCCCTCATCCGCTGAATGTTCACACACCGACACCCGTACACAACACAGAGAGAGAACCTTACATCAATTCATTCTTCCCCCCTCCCCTGGATATATGTCATCCATCTCACCTCGACGAATTTCTTGACCTTCTCATCCTTGGGCTGCCTCGACACATGCAGCCTCAGCCCCTCCCCGTCCCCAATGCTGTCAAGGCATATGGCGATCTCGATCAAGTCCAGTGTGCGGGCGTCGCTCTTGCTCAGCCAGAAGTCGCTCCCCCTGAAGTTGGACACGCTGCCGCTGGTCAGGAGGAACAGCAGGTTGTAAGGGCCCTGCTTGAGCGTGTCGTACAGCTTCCGGAACAGACGAGCCAGCTCGAGGGCGGCGATCAGGCCGCTGCCGTTGCCGTCGGCACCCATCGCAAGACTCTACATGACACAAGGGGCCGTGGCCGTGTGATGGTGAGGGATTGGTTCGTTGGTGTGTCAGTTTCCTCACCGGTGCGCCCCCGAATGCGTCGTATGAGGCCACGATGGCGATGGTGGGGAGGTTGGTCTGCCATGTCGACCTGGTCACATTGGACTGGCCGTGAAGGAAACCCTGCATGTGTGAGGGACACAGACAGCATTTATCCACCCATCCAGCAATCTGGTGAGTGAGTGATGTTTGGTTCCCTGCTTTGTCCGCTCACATAGAGGTTCTCCCCCTCCAGCGGCTTGATCGGCGTCGCCTCGCCCAACTTGGCCTACACAAACAAACAAACAAACACACACACACACAGGGGCAAGCAATGGACCGACCCACCCCTGCTCTGCTCTGCTCTGCGTGTGTGTTGGTCCACCCATCCCATGCGTACCACGAGCTGTATCTGGTCCTTGAGCCAATTGGTGTGTTGAGGTCCGGCGGCCCTCCCGCCGCCTTCACTGGCCGGCAGCTCGTCGTAGAGCGCCAGCAGCTCCGGAGTCTCGTACACGAAGTAGACGGCCATGGGGATCTGCTGACGCACCAGGAACTGCTCGATCACCTTGAACTCCATCACCTGCTCGGCCGTCACCTGGTTGACAACCGCCCACACACACATGGATGGGTGTGCGTGAGGGAGGTAGAGGGGCAAGGGTGCGGTGGTTGGCTTTCCTGGTCAGGCGGGGGCAGCAGGATGACGAGTCCGCTGGCCTGCACCTGGTCCAGGAACTCCTCGAGGAACTGGTGAGTCAGCTCCGCCAGCCGCAGCACCACGATCTTACGCATCAACTCACGACTTAACGAACCATTTATACTCCTACCAGTACCTGTTGTGTAGGGGTAGGGGACACACACACACACACACACACAGATCGATCAAGGGCCAATGCAGGTCGCACACAGGAGACTGCCTGCCGCCTGCCTGGGCTGTTTGTTTGAGTGTCTGACCTATTCGATGTGCCATTCCGTTGAGTGCCGATCTCCAGCTGCCAAACATCTCGCCAGACGCCTGGTACTGCAGCAACCGAAACGCCTGAAACTCCAAGGCCGCCTGCAGCAGCCACACAAACACACAAGCAGATCAATCAGAGATAGAGGTCACAGATCTAGGCAGCCGTGCAGGCAGGCGTGCTTTGAGGCTGTTGTGTGTGCGCCGGCAGCCAGCCAGACCTGTCCCAGCATCCACTGGAATGACGAGCACACAATCATCAGCAGCAGGAAGCACGTCGGATGGGAATGAGAGGAATAATGCGCCGCCATCGCTGCCAATCGCTGGCTGGCCAAACTCCAACAGTATGCTCTTCCCTCTCCCTCGGGAGCAGCGGGGTTCACGACCGGCGCTCACGTCTGCGAGCTAAGCCGAAAAGGCGAGCTTGAAAATTCTCCCTCCGTGTTTTCACGTTTGGCCTTTTGTTTGGCTCTGCGTAGCTCACTGGCCGAGTGAAGTCTTTCCCTCAGCTCACAATGACAGACTTCGTCAGGTGCGGATGCGATGCCTCACACACACATCCTCCCACACATCCTCACACCTTACACATGCCTTCCCGTGCGTGTGTGTGTTCCAGGAACCTGCCAGCTGCCCGTAAGCTGGAGACCGACGCCTCACTGGGCGCTTTCAAGATCTCGAGTGCAGTTGAGGAGAGCCGTGTGGTGGCCACTGGCAAGGCGAGAGGGCCGCCGCCTTACGGCAGAAGGGACGGGTGGGTGCCGCGCACGCAGGGCGACTACGGCGATGGCGGGGCGTTTCCCGAAGTGCACGTGGCACAGTTCCCGCTGGGCATGGGCATCAAGAACACAGTGAGCTGACAGAGCAGAGGGAGGGAGGAATGTGTCTCGTGTGCTGAGGGTGCGGCATGAGGTTGTTTGTTGTGTGTGTGTGTATGTGTGTGTGTGTGTGTGTGTGTGTGTCAGGGTGTGTCCAAGACAGTGCCGCTGCAGACGGACGAGAGTGGCAAGGTGGCGTGGGACGCGGTCGTCAAGCAGGGCAGCCACCAGATGGTCGTATGTAAGTGCCCTACACACACACACACACACAGACACACACACAGACACACACGCACACACACGTCCACAGACAGACACACGGGTTCTCCTTTCTATGTGTGTGTGTTGTGTGTGTTGTTGTGTGTGCAGACAGCCGTCCGGGTGACCAGATGGAGAAGTATTCCAAGAGTGAGGAGATGCAGAAGCCTGATGAGGACGTCATCGAGGCCAACCTACAGCGCACCAAAGCCGCACTCGAGGCCACCCTCGAGAAGAAGCTATCCGTAAGCCAGCCAGCCAGCCAGCCCGCCAGCCAGCCGCCAGGAAGCTAATGCATTCATTCACGCGAGAGTGCGTGGATCACTCTCCCTGTGTGTGTGTGCGTGTCACAGGCTGGGGCAGTGAAGCGTCAGGACGCCAAGGACCCCACATACATCAAATACACTCCCAACCAACAGGTGAGGAGATGTCTACTATTCACCATGCTGGCTGGCTGGCTGGCTGCATGTGAATATGTATCTCTCTGTATACTTGCCTCTCTCTGTGCTGTGCTGTGCTGTGCTGTGCAGGCGCCCGGTCACAACAGTGGGTGTGCGCAGCGGATGGTGGCTGTTGTCGAGAAGCAGCTCGACCCCCTCGAGCCGCCCAAGTTCAAACACAAGCGGGTGCCAAGAGGACCGCCCGAAGCCCCGCCACCCGTCCAACACTCACCACCGCGTACGCTACGCAGCCCTGCAGTGCACCACACACACACACCCATGCACACGTGACGGACGGCACTGTGCTGTGGTGTTTGTGATGTTTGCAGGCAAGCTGACCCAGCAGGACCAGAAGGAGTGGAAGATCCCGCCGGCGGTGTCCAACTGGAAGAACCAGAAGGGGTACACCATCCCGCTGGACAAACGGCTGCAGGCAGACGGCAGACACCTGCAAGACGTACGTACGCACGGACGCATGGGATGGCATGGATGGATGCATCGCATCGATCAGCCAGCCACACACGCACTTATAATGAGCCTCCCCTCTGTGTGGGTGGTGTGGTGCTGTCTTGTGTTGTGTTGTGTTGTGTTGGTTGCACCAGTCGACGATCAACGACAAGTTTGCGGCCCTCTCTGAGGATCTCTACATCGCCGAGCGGAAGGCGCGAGAGGAAATCAAACTCAGGTACCTACCCTCTACCCACACATGAATGACACACACGGGTGGCTGGCTACTGGGTGGGTTTGCGCAAGTAAGTATGTGATGTCTTCCCTCTCTCTCTGTCTGTCAGGAATGAGTTGCGTAAGCGCCAGAAGGCCCAGGAGGAGGAGATGCGCGAGCAGCAGCTCAGGAGCCTCGCCGCCAAGGCACGCGCTGAGCGGTACGTGACGTGCACCAAAAGACAGCCAACAAATGCATGCACCAGCGCCCAACAGAGAAACACCATTTGTGTGCGTCGTTTATTGTATTGTATGGTTGGTCCATGATATGATGCATCTATCAGTTCCAACTTGGCGGTGGCTGGTGAGGGCGAGTCCGCTGAGGACGCCGAGGGCCGGCGGCATCGGCAGGAGATCGAGAGAAATCGCAAGAGGGAGGTGGAGAGGGACTTCAGGCTCGAGGTAACTCAGATGAACACACACAGACAGACAGACACGGAGGGGCTACTGATGGCTGACCCTGTGTGTGTGTGTCAGATGGCTGGCAAGAAGCACAAGCGTGACCGCGATGCCGACCGTGATGTGTCGGAGCGAATCGCACTGGGCCAGGCCCAGCCCACCTCCCAGGAGACCATGTACGACGCCCGCCTGTTCAACCAGAACGTCGGCATGGACTCGGTGAGCCCTCACAACACAACACACACACACCGAGCGACACGACAATGTGGCGCCGCCCCCCTCTGTGTCTGTGTCTGTGTGTGGTGTGAGCAGGGCTTCAATGCTGGCGACGACGAGCGGTACGACGTCTATGACAAGCCGCTGTTCGCCGACCGCTCTCAGGCGGGCATCTACAAACACCAGAAGGAACGCATGGAGCAGTCCGTCGGAACCAGGTCAGTCAGTGCAGGCAGGACTCACGGTCAACATGCAGCCACAAAGCACAAATGGGTCTCTCTCTGTGTGTGTCATGTGTCTTGTGTTGTGTGTGCAGCAGCCAGATGGGCCGTGCGTTTGCAGGCGCGGAGGAGGACCGCGACAAGGGCGCGCGGACCAATCCTGTCGAGTTCGAAAAGGTCAGCCGACGCACAACCATCTGCACCGCACACCCCACCACACACACATTGCCATCATGTTGCCTCTTTCCCGTTGTGTATGGTATGGTGTGGTGTGGTGTGCAGGACACTTCCGATCCTTTCGGCCTTGACTCCCTCATTGCCGGCGCCAAGAAGACATAGCATGTGTGCGGGTGGTGTGCTGTGTGGGGTTGGTTGGGGTGGTTTCGTTGATGCTGCTGGGAGTTTCTTAGAGCGGGGATGGATGCTCTGATGTGTGGGGCATGGCATGGCATGACACGGGGGCATTTTTCGTGTGGTCGCTCGTGGTGTGCTTGTCAAGAAGCTCTGCCGTGTGGCTGGACTGGGTGAACTCGTGCCAGTTCATCAACATGACACGGGGCTGCCTTAGATCCTATCCGCACCGGTGACTCCCAGTGTGGTGGATCTGAAGGAGCGCTGTGGTATGCCGGTGACCTGCCATGACTGATACCAGTCCGACGACACATCGATGGATGGATGGATGGATAACACGCACAGACACTGATGGATCATGGCCATTCTTTATTTGGAACGACCCATGCATCCACTTGCGTGGTCACCACAAGGCAGTCACTCAACAGGCAATATACTCAACAACACCTGCAGCAGTATCCATGCGACAGACAGGTCAACCAGCCACCAACCAATTGCATATGTACACACACCCACACATGCACATGCACGCCCAGCCAGCCATCCAGCCATAGAGAGAGTGCCTCGCATGCATCGGATTGGACGCAGGGACACCAATTATGATAGGATATGATATATCACAGAACATGACACATCCGCGGCCTGTCTGTGTCTGTGTCCGTCTTAGAGAGGTCGCTGCCGCTTGACGCCTCTCCTTCGCTGCTCCCTGGCGGCACGCATGCGGCGCTCCTCGGCCGCCTGCGCCACCAACGGATGTGCCCTCACACCTACAGTCGTACCCAACCTGCGTGCGACACACGACATGATACGACACGACATCCATCTGCCCGTTTCTCTCGTGTGTGTGTGTGTACGTCTCGCTTCTTACGTCTCCCTCCACTCCCTGAAGGCCCGCATCTCCGAATTCCCCCACTGATACACTGCACACACACACACACACACACAGCACAGAGCACGAGAGCCGCAATGGCATGGATGGATGGGTGCCGCATGTGCCTGAATAAATCAGTGCGTCCGTGAGGTAGTCATCGAGCGTACGTGCATGTTCGGTGTCGGTGAGTTTGGGCAGTAGGTTGGTGGCGTCATGGTACGCGGCCGACAGCACATCACGCTCGTCCCCCTGGTTGCCCCTCGGCGCAGCCCCGGCACGACGCCCGCGGCCCCCAGCACGCGAGTAGGACTGAGCGGGTTGCATCAGGCCAGGCAGGCGACACAAGGATGACAGATATATGGAATACGTGTGTGTGGGTGGGTGGGAGAGCTGACCACGGTGGCCTCGCCGGTGGAGAGCGCCCGCCTGGAGATGGTCTGTAGCCTCTTGGTGAGGGCCTCCCTGACCGTCTGCTTGACCGCTATGTCGTGGTCATCCAGCTCCTCCTGATCCTTCCTGATATATGTCCATCCATCCCATCCATCCATCCATCCATCCACACACATGCCCCATTTCGTGTATGTTGAATGCATCCATCCATCCATCGCTTACAGCGCGAGTATGCCGAGTACAGTGAGGAAGAAGTGGGGGTTGACATCTGCGAGTCGGACGCTCATGGCGTCGATCTCGAGCTTCTTCCGGATGTGCTCCGGGCAGAAGGCGTAGATGTCGTCCAGCTCAAACAAATCGCTCAGCTCACACGCCAGCCGAAGCGCCTGGTACTGAGGCACAACCACACGGGTCTCCTCCCGTAACTGATGAATGACAACACCAGCAACAACAACGCAGCGCATGAGCGGCATGGCACATGGTGCACCGCCTTTGCTCTCTCCCCTCCCTCGGCAGCGTAGCGTACCACACTGTCTGCTTTTGCGCTTGCGACGTCCATCCATCCCAGCCCCGGGATGTCCTCCAACGGGAATAATGGCATACGCTGGATGTCAGACGGACAACAGGGATGCAGCTATGAATGCAGGCAGGGTGGATGGATGGATGTGCATCATAATCTCAATCTGATGTGTGTACCTCTTTCTGCCAGAGAATTTGGTGCGTGTTCCAGTAGTCCGAGTCCTCCTCATTCATCTACGTTCCTTGACAACCCGAACGGTCGCTGCACTGATAGACGCGGCTCCAACTAGAGCTGCGAAGCCGCTCGGGCACCATGGAGTGGCTGTGGCGGTGCTAACCTCCTGAGAGCCGGTCCGCTGCACCCTCCTCCGTGCGTAGATTTGAGCAAGGTTGACATCCTGCTGCAACTCATCGATTCACCGGTAAACGGATCTCTGGGCCAGGCGGGAAGATCGCACCTTTTTGCGGCGGGAGTGTTTCCAGCTCCCTGTGGGCCAGCTCTGCCTCCAAATGTGCAGTGCGTGGGAGTGCAGTGCCGCGCTGGCGGAAGCCACAAACGTCTGGCCCCGAGAGCCCCAAATCTCCTCGCCCTTCAATCCCTTTCCCCAAACAGCTCCGCGATGTCAGCTCAGCAGCGTGGGGCGCAGACCAAGACGGTGTGGGGACACATTGCAGACGCATTCGCTGGCGTCATCGGAGGAATCGCCGTGAGTATCCACTCTCCTCCCACAGAATCTCATGCAGCATACCCGAAGGGACAGCGGTCCTCATTGCCCTGTTGTGTGTGTCATCAGGCCCTGGGCAAGGCCTCCCGGGCCACGCTTGTCTACACCAACAACTGCATCCAGCGCACGAGCTATCCGATCAAGGAGGACTGCATTCGGCGATATGACAAGACTGTGGGCGCCTTCAGGACGGAGAACCGACGGACCTCCAAGCCCCGCAGCGGCGTAGTCAACTTTGCGGCGTCCAGAAGATGATTTGGAATGGCCACACATTTGAGACATACTAGTACAGAGGACAGTGAGTGTCTTCTTCCGAGTCAGCGTTCAATCGCAGCACACGTCAATCAACTGCTAGTGCACCACGAGCCCGAGCGGGGCTATGTCTATCGGATGTCCCTCCGTTCTCTCAACCACTGCCTTAACGTCGACGTCGCACAAGAATTCATGCATCAACAGCACCTCACACGACGGCCGTCTCTTCAGATCACTCACCATGCAGCAATACACGAAATGCTGGGCTGACAGGGGGATATGGGGCAATACGGGGATACGCTCTGGAGCACGTGACGCATCAAGGACACATTGCCGGATGGTCGCTAAGGAGCCATCGAACAGAGGATATCCAGAGAGAAGCTCCCACAACAGTACGCCGAGCGACCAGATGTCTCCTTTCTCGTCAGCCGTTGCTGCTGCGTCGTGGCCAAAGGCTTCAGGGGGTAGGTAGCGCTCAGGGATGAATGAACCTGGCTCACAGTACTTGCTGAATCTGAGATACACAGACAGATGCACACCAACACGTGTGTGTCTCATGTAGCGGTTGTTTGTGTGTCAGTGTCGTACTGTTTGGGTGGGACGCATGCGAGCGCAATGTGTCCACTATCGTCCAGCAACAGATACTCAGGGCACAGATACCCGCAGCCAATGTCCCTCTCATGCACATAACACATCATAACCAGCACCTCAGCCATCCACAGCCGCACCACATCCACAGGGAATGGCCCCTCCCTCCTTGCCATGGCGTCCCCCACACTCCCAATGGGATGGTGCTCTGCCGCTATGGCGAGACAGCCGTCATCGAGCAGCCAAATCGAGTGCAGCCGCTGCACGAAGGGCACGCCACACATGCCCACCAGTGTCCCCAGGTATCGCAGGAGACCTCCATAAGCGAACGCTCGCAGGTCAATAAAGTCCATCGTGAGTGAGAGCGGGCTGGAAAGAGGCACCACGCCCGGTGGTGTGGCTCTCACGTGGAGGGAGCGTATCGTGGGACAGGCCATTGCAACAGCAGCTGACGGTGGATCAGTGATAATGGAGAAGTCCTCGAGACGGAAGCTCTTAAATGCTACTGCTGACGGGGCAAAGACCAGCCTTGCATCAAGCGGCGCTGCTGCCGTGTATGACGGCTGCCTGTGGCCAGGAATGATCTTCAACACATCTTCCCGAAGCATGCTCGCGCTGAAGATCATTGCAGTGGGACACAATAGTGGCCCACTGTTCGTGGTAGTGTCCCGCTCTTCGTCTCTTTTACTTATCTCGCCGGTGATGCGTTTGGCAAGGGAAGGAGAATAGAATGTTGTGGCAGCAGAGGCCGCACTATCATCGACACCAGCACATAAGCAAAGCCTTGGTCTCCCTTGTCGGCTACCTTTACTGCCCCTGGCTGCTTCTGCGGACGACTCGGCCGCCTCACTTGTGCATATAGTCGTGGCCGTCGTCGTTGTCGTGTCCCCTCTCGCAAATCGGCCAGTCTGCTTCTCGTCCTCCTTGTTCGATGGGGTGGGTCTGGGCGGCGAGAAGTGGAGGGGCTGTGATAGCACATGTCTCGTCAGGGGCACGCTCTCCTCCATGCGGTCGTATGTCTCTATCTCCGCAACAGCCATAGTTTCGTGCGATTCCCGAGACAGGTACGCCGTGACGGACGGCGTGGCATGCGGGAGCAGGGCGGGTGCTGGGTATGGTGGAACGGCTGCTGATGGGCATCGCTCCACCATCCGTAGTAGAGGCTCCGCCAGTGTATCGTCATCGGGGAAGTGTGGCGTCAGTGGCTCGTTGGATGTCTCTTGCGCTCTATGTAATAGCCGTGCAAACGATCCTCTCGTCGACTCGGTTGCTGCGGGAAGCTGCTTGGGCTTTGTCGACGGCGGCCGAGGCCCATACCCACCACCACCACCAGCAGCAGCTTCAGTGTGTTGTGTCTCGAGCACCATTCTCTCATCGTCGGAGGCAAAGGGGTCTTTGTCCCGCTCGTCATCCGATGCGAACGGGTTCTCTGGCACGGCCGCCTCGGTGGCTGTGGGTATCCGATCACCGCCAGACTGCATCGTGCTCCTCGTCTCCAATGTGGCGATGTCTTGCCCGCCAGCACCGGCATCACCCCGACGCACATCCACACGAGGAGGGTTCAAGATCATCTCTTTCCCCTTGTTCAGTGCGCTCACAAGGTCGTCTCGCGTCCATGTCGACCACATGGCTTTGTCGGCCTGTCTAGCGGCACTCTTGTTGTCCACCTTTGAAGAGGGATTACCGTACCGCAGCCGCATAGCCGCCTGCAGGAAGGGGTTGTCCGATGTGTTGGTGGCCGACATGCGGACAGAGAGCCGTTGGAAAGTGTCCAGGGGGGCGAAGGAAGCGGCCTTCTTCTCACTGAACTCGCTGACAGAGAAGGAAGACACGCTGCGCTCTCTCCTCCTCTCCCTGGCAGTAGGACGAGGTACGACAGATGGCCGATGGACAATCCGCCTCTTCTCCTTTTCCTCTTCAGAAGACGAAGAGAACGGCCTCTTGCTCGTCCGCCGCCTCAAGCCAGCGTCTCTTTTTGCAGCAGACGGCTGTGATGGCGGCTTCTTCATGAACACTTCCCTCTCCAGCCGCTTCGCCTTCTTGGCCACCGCATCAATGACACCACTCCGCTGGCCGCCACTCTTCCTCCACTCCTGTACACGTGGCCGCTCGCTCGTCAGGTCACGCACCGCCTTGCGAATGGGCTGGAAATCCTCATCACGCCCGAAGAGAGCCTCGACGGTCTCCTCTCTGTCGCTCTCGTCGAGTGCTGATGCATCGCCCTTGTCGATGGTAGCCAGCAGGTGGCGTGCACGTCGTATGGCGGCCTCCAATTCCTTCTTGACCCTTGTGGCGGGCAATGCGGGTGTCGGTGGCCGAGACTCCGCTGCTGTTGGTGCCTCCTGGTCCAACGAGAACATCTCGCGCCTCATGAAGCTGTTGACGTCGAACAACTCGCCTCTCGCTGTGTGACGCAGGGCGGTCGACTTTGGAGACACCGGGGAGTCGCGCCTTGGGGATGGCTTGTTCGACGAGAAGTCGGTGAGATACTCGTGTGTGCTGGAGGCGTCCTGATGCAATATCATGTGCTCGGGAGGGAGGATCTTGTCGAGGCGGGAGAGCTTCCTTCTTGACGGCTGGTGACGGCCAGAATGTCGTTTGAAATGGGAGAAGTCGATGGCATCATGGCGGCCGAGTGGGGAATGTGCTTTCGCATCCGCTGCATTCGTCTGCACCACCTGACATCCATCGTGAAGGAGAGACGGCAGCAAAATGACAAAATCCGATTTGGCGGTGCGGCTATATGGTTTGAAGGTGCAGTGGGGCTACCTGTTTCGTTGTAAGGGTATGGCGGAGGGCTGCTGCGTCCATCTGCTGCACAAATTTCATGAGCGGTGTCGTTTCGATTGGGCGTGGAGGCCCCAGCTCCATTTGCGAGCTTAGCTGACGCTTGCGTCATGATTTGACCTCTTTGATCTAGCAACCTCCTTTGCCATTCTGCCCTTCCTCTCCCTTCATCCGTCCCGAGTGCGCATATCCATCCATTCCAGCTCCCAGTCAGGTCACACTCAGCCGCCTTGTTTCCCTTCCCTTCTATCTCGCCCTGCCTGTCGGCATGCATACCGCCAGCACAACCAGCACCACCACCACCAGCAGCCCCTCAGTGCCCAACGATGACCTCCGCATACTCGACGAAGCACTCGAGTCTCTCTACCGGGACCAGATCAGGCCCGCAACCAGCGAGGTAAGGAGCAGAGGAAGGCCCGCTGCCTGCCTGCCTGCCTGCCTGCCTGCCTGTGTATCCGTCCATCGTGCAATGCCTGTTTGTGTGTGTGTGTGTGTGTGTGTTTATGCCATCAGGTGGTGCGCCGTTTGCAAGAGCGACATGCACCGGCCTACCACGTGAACAACTTGGTCTTCATCTGTACGGCCCTGGACCGCTACGAGGTGTCGCGAGTGGGTGGCGCGACGGCCAACAAGGGCTCCAAGTCGCCCTCAGCCTTGTCAGCGTCACCGCAGCAGCAGCCCGGGCAGTCGGGCACATATATATATCTGGCCGGTAGGTGGCTGTGCCGGGGCGTGCCTACATCTACATCTCTCTGTGTTTGCGTCCATTGCAATGTTGTGTGTGCGTGCAGGTCGGGAAGGCTCGTGGGTTGATCCCAAGGACCCGTCAAACCTTTACGCTGCGGAGGTGTGGCGGGCCTTCCTCGCCGAGATCAGGCGACCCATGCAGCATGGACAGGGCGGCAAACGGCCAGAAGGTAAGAGTGAGTGGAGAGTTCATCGCACCCCCCTCGCCACCACACGCCACCAAACACAGGCTCACCGTGCTGCTCTGTGTGCGTATGGGTGTGTGTAGGGCACAACCTGGGTTACCATCAGTTCAAGGGCGGTCGCTACGGCATGGCGGCAGAGTTCAAGCAGACCGCCACGGGGGTCCTCAAGGAGCTCTCCCTGGGGCAGCTTTGCCACATGATCCAACTCGCCATCTCATACGGCTTCCTCGCATACGAAAACAGGTTCAGTTCCTGCTACACTGCCACACGCACCGATCCCCCAGCCAACTCACACTCATGCCTCCTCTGTCTGTCTGTCTGTCTGGTGTTCAGTCTGCTGCAGCCGTCCTCTGCGTGCCACAATCTCACCAAGGCCGCCCTGGCCGACTTCAAGCCACGCACCAAGACACCCGCCAAGCACCACCCCTCCCCTTCGCCGCTTCCCTCCCCCTCCCCCTCCCCATCACCGTGCCCATCGCCCTCCCCCTTCCGTCTGTCGGTGGTCCCCCCCGCCTCCCCGGACCCATTCACCCTCATCACCACCACCACCACACGGCCGTCCAGCCCAACTCCAAGCACACAAATGGCTGGGCCAGTCCTGCTTGGCCGGCTGAGCCCGTCCATTGACGGTGCCCGTAGCCCCACTGCATCGTCGTGCATGTCGCCCCGGTCGCCCACTGTGTCTGTGTCGGAGAGGGTGCCTGTGTGTGCGGGCAAGAGCATGGGGCTGGCGAGGATGTGGTGCGACCGGCTGGTCAAGGTGCTGGATGAGCGGCAGAACGGCATCGTGCTCGCCCAGCTCAAGAAGAGACTGCTCGAACGGTACGCACACAAGCGCGCAAGCGGGGGTACGGCAGAGAGAGAACCGATCATTCCTGATGCGGTGCACACACATTCACTGCCCCCTGTTTCTCGTGTTTGCGCTGTGCCATTCACGCAGCTTCCGCGCCATGCTGCAGCCGACGACGTTCGGCTTCACGAAGCTGTCGCAGGTGCTGACGGCCGAGCCGTTCTTTTCGTCCGTGCGGCTGTACGAAGACCGCCACGGTCGGCTCATCCTGCAGTCCAAGCGGTTCGACGCCCCGCGTGCAGCCAAGATCCTGCTGCCCAGCCAGACGGGTGTGGAGCCGATGTCGCCGCTGCCTTCGCTGAGCAGCAAGGCGTGGGGGGACGAGGAGGACTGCTGGGCGGTTGGGGGGGTGTCGTCTGACGGGGGGGAGCCCTGGACGCCCGTCACACCAGTGTCGACACACCATCATGCGGTGAGTGGGGTGGGGTGTCATGGTTGATTGGCAGCCATTCTCTTTCTATGTGTGTCATTCGCTCGCTCGCGTCATGTGTGTCATTCGTCAGGTTGGTGCTGGTGAGGGTGCGGTGGAGCTGCTGCAGCGTGTGTGGGACCAGCAGGACACCCTGCCCACGTCCTTCCTCCACTGGCTGCACCACCCATGCCCCTGCCCCTACTCAACCATCACACACAGCCAGCACACAGCAACCATCTGGAGCCCACCCTCCCTCTCCCCATCTCCCCCCTCTCCCCGAGTGCGTCCGTCGCCCAGCCGGATGGACACACCTCTGGCAGACCTCGAGGTCGAGGGCCCCCAGATGGCGCGCCGTGCCAGCCTCGCCGAGAGCTACCGCGGGCTCAAGATCGACACGGGGCGGGGGCTGGTGGGTGGGGGTGGTGCGTCTGTGTCGGCTGCTGGTAGTGCTGGTGTCGGTGAGCAGTGTGAGGGGACGCCATGGGGGCCGACACTGCTGGGGCGGGTGATGCACCACCGCAGCAAGGGAGACGACGTGACCGATGGGTTTGCAGCTCTCCAGTGATGGTGTGGTGTGGTGTGAGGGGATGGAGGGGTCTCCTTCTCTCTCTCACTCTCTCTCTGCCCGTCTCTCTGCGTACGTGTGTGTGTGTATGTGTGTCTTGTTTCTTGAATCACCCATCCGCATCTGTGTGTCTGTGGATGGGGGGATTCTTTCTTCAATCAACGACATAGAGAGATGGATTGATGGATCTTGTTTCAGTCAAGTAAGGGAGCCCGCGAACGAAGAGATGATGGCGGGCATCGGGCGTCCAAGCAAGGGGTGATCTTGCCCGTACGCCTGCTATGGCGCATGTACAATTATCGAGACGGGTGTGGTGGGAGTGGTGTGTGGGTCCGTGCGATGCCTCTTTTTCTCCCGTCTTCTCAGGGGCATGATGTTTCTCGTATGTGCTTGTCTGTTGGTCCATGCGCCTCTCTGTCTGTCTGTCTGTCTGTCTGTCTCATGCCAATGTGTGCCCCGTGTGTGTGTTAAGTGTGTGTGCGTGCGTGTATCTTCATGGCCTTCAGCAAAACGTATTAACATTTGCTGAAAATGCGGCTATTCTCTGCACGTATGATGCCGTGTGTGTGTGTTCTGCTCTGCTCCGTGTCGCCTTCTTTTTCAAACCAGGAAGGTGCTGTCGTGTCTGTCTGTCTGTCTGTCTACGAAGTAATTAACCCCTTCCTCATCAGTGGACCTTCTCTAGCTCTGAGAAGGTCGCTCGCTCCGTTGTGCATGATTGCAATGGTTGCATTCCGAGTAAGGTTACTCGAACTCACTCCGCCGTTGGGCCTGATTTTTCTCCTTTACAGGTGTCTCCTCATCTCACTCACTGGACTCACTTGGTGTGTGTGTGTGCATGTCTGTGCGTGTGGCGTCATGGGTGCATATGCTGCAGAGGGCACACAACCGTGTGCTTGTTGCGGCGCTGTGCATCTGGCACTCAATGAATGGATGGATGTATCCGTGTGCACGAGAGAGGGGGGAACGGGCAGATTAATACATGCTTGCAGTCTGAGAGACGCACTTCAGAGGACGAGTGTCAAAGGAGGTATGTGATGAGGTTGTCCGTCGACTGATTTTGAGTCATCCATCCATCCATTCATTCATTCCTTCATCGACGTGGACACACGGGTAGATGTACAATTGTCAGATGAAGTATTTGGCTGCAGTCTCTCATTCCCCCCCTCCCGCCTCCATCTATGCGTCACGCTTGCCAGCCCGCCCTCCCTCCCTCCCCCCCGCCCTCATGCCAGCTTGTATGCCTCCAGCTCATCGATCTCAAACTGCCACCCCTTCACAGACACAGGCAGGAACACTACGTCACCGTCCCAGCCGCGGTCGCTCGGCTTGACACTCGGCCGCTCCCACTGGCGCCACTCATCGGGCTGCCCCTCCTCCCGCATGAAGCCCTGGCACCGTTTCATGATCTCATCGCTGGCCGCTGCTGGCGCGCCGATCTGGGCGGCCAGACGGACACCGAAATCGAGGCATGCGGATCCGGAGAGGACGGCCGTCATATTGGAGGCGGGTGAAGAGAAATCGATGAGGTCGGTGACTCTCTCCTGCACACACGGATAGAGAGATCATTACCATGACTGCGTTGCTGGTTGAAATGAGTACCCACCTGTGTGCCCGCGATATACATGCCGCTGTTCCAGCCGATGCCGCCCACATATGCGTGGCTTTCTGTCCCCCGCAGCTTGAAGGCGTATGATGTCGTGTTGCGCTCGCTATCGGCCGCCCCGGTGACCTCGATGGGCCCCTCGATGATGAGGGCGAAGAGCTCATTGCTGTCGGCCACCTTGGAGATGAGCAGCAGTGGGGAGTGGCCCTTGACGGCATCGAAGAAATCCAGCCACCTCCACCCATCCACTGTCGCCCTGCCACAACACACACACACACATCAAGACACAGAGGGATGGTGAGAGAGTGCCGTCATGCTCACGACCGTCTGGCCTGCCCTCCTCACTTGTATATGCGGATGACCGGCTCGCCCACACACGGAGGGATAGCCGGGGCGTCCTCCTCGCCCTCACACCACTGTCGCATCTTGTGCAGGTGCTCGGTGGTCAGTAGGCCGTCAATGGGACCCAAATAGCGATCAGCATCCAAGCCGTACCTGACACAAACCAACACACAGACAGAGAACAGCCGTCGGGGCACTGTGTGGTGAGCAGCTCTGTGTGTTCTTGTCGCTCTGACATGATGAGTGCGTGTTGGTAGCCCTTGATGGCCAGGTCACCCCTCGCCCCCTGCACGTCAGCCGCTGTGATAGACGCCCCCGTCATGTGCGCACGGGCGACTATGTCCACCACCCTCTGCACGTGCTCCGGAGGCGCTTCCACGGTCAGAGTGTGATGCCTTAACGAACAAACAAGGGCAACATGCCAACCAACCATAAGTGTGTGTTCCACTCGCTGCTACTGGCGGACTTGAGGAATCGGTTTGCGAACGTCGAATCGTCCCCCAGCGACTTCGCTACGGCTTTGGTCACGGTGATCTTCTGACCGAGGACGTCAATCGACACCAACTGACGACATAGAGATGTGACAGCGAGCGCACCATTGAGTTTGCACTCCTCTGCTGTTCTGTGTTCGCCTCACCGTATCGTCCTCCATATTGCCCGTCTTCAGCAGCGGTTTGATGGCGTCGCGCCTCGCCTCCTGCGCAGCCTTGTCCGCCTTGGCCCGCCTGATCATACTGGTCAGCTCAACAGAGAGGTCCTCAGCATCGCTCTGTGGCTGTCCCCCTCCCTGCTGGCCGTCGTGTGCGGGGGGCTGCTGGTCGTTCTCTCCTGCCGCCACCGCACCGTCGTTGGCGCGCCGCTTCGTGGAGGGGTCGGACAGAAGTAGCTCGGCCCAGTACCTGAGGATGGCGGAAACATGCACACGCACATAGCGAGCGAATAGGCCTTTCCTTCCTCACTTGTATGGCGCATCGGTTTGTCTGGCGGGTGTCAGGGTCACATTGTCGACCTGCTCGCCCGAATACAGTATGAGCTCTCCAACCAACCTGATCAGATCACACACACACCCCATCCGCCAATCCCCTCAGTGTTCGTCCGCCCCTCTCACCACTTGAAGGCGGGCGGCCAGATCTGCAACAACACCGGCACACCATTGTGTCATGTCTGGCTGGCTGGCTGGCTGTGTGTGTCAGCTGCAAGTCAACGCATGGCTGCGTGTGGTTGACCTGCAGGAAGATGCGATTGCTATCGTCTCTAATGAAGCCAGCGTCAAACTTGCCACAAAACATCACCGCCAGCACACTGCCCTTGGCCGCACAGAGGGCCGACCGGCGGGCGCGCATCAACTCTCCAGCGACGTTGATCTCCAACACATCACGCATACACTCGTTCTGTGCCGGAGGGCGCACGAAACACAGCAGTGAGAGCACCGATCCACATTGCAAGGCTTCTATGTGTCTGCGCTCCTTACCGAGGCTGCACCCCCCGTCCCGCCCATCGAAAGCTCCTTGTCCACGAGGCCGCGGCTCAGCGTCTGCAGCTCCTCTGTTACCCGCTGGCTGTGCTCGATACTCGCAGCAAGATAGTCAACTTCGTCACCTTGTTTGCCATCCCACTTGCGCTTCTGCGACCCCGCAGCCGCCGCAGCTGCCCCAGAGCTACTCATCGCCTCGCTCCTGCGCCGTTTTTTGTTGCGTCGATCCCTTCCTTGCCGATCGATCGGAGGTGGGGTGGGTGTTTCGCCTTTGGAGAGCGATGGAGCCTCACACACGGGTTCCCCCTGGCCGCCCGGTGCCAATGGTAAGCCCGCCAGCCGCGCAATTTGACCCCGCTGCTGTCAATGGAGGGAGGAAGCGTCCAAACGAGCAAGTGGGGGGCGAGACGAGTCAAGACCACATCACGGTACAGACAAGCGAGTGGCGTCATAAATCATTCGATTGATTGATCAGACTGTCTGGTGTGACTTGTTGTAACAGCTTTACGACGCCCAACAGGCGAATGGTCAAGGGCAGGGTCAGCTTAAGAAGGCAAGGCACGCCGAGATCGCCAAGGTGCAGCAGCCAGTCGCCCAGCAGGTGCAGCAGCCACACTTCCCTTATTTGCCGGCAGCCATCGCGCCGCTGTCGTTTCAAGCCAGTCAGCTGCAGTCAGCCTTGCAGTCATCCTCGCCTCTCGCGCGAGGCTTCCAGTCTCCCTACGCCCACCAGCTGCCCATGGCCCACCCCAACCCATACGCGTCGCCATCCCATGCGGCCGTCTATGGCGCCCTGCAGTATACTGCACCGGGGTATGCTTATCCCTCTGCACTCAACCCTTTCCAACCGGGCACAATGTACCCCCTTGCTCCTCGATACCCCGGCACCGGCACCATCGGTGGCCACCACGCTGCCGCTTCACACGCTTCGCACCACCCCAACCGGGCCCCCTCGGCCCCTCCCCCCTTACAGCAGGATCAGCAGCCGTTGAATCGCCCCCCTTCTGTGCCCCCAGCGGCAATGGCATCGCACCGACACGCCCCGTCATCGCACCCCCCTGCTGCTGCCGGCCTCTCTGCCCCTGCTTTGGCTGCCCCTGCTGCTGGTGTTGCCGGTGCAGCGGCTTCTATTTCTGGTTCTGCAGTGACTACTGCGGCTGACGTATGGCGGTCCATTCAGCAGTCTGGCGCCCCAACGAGGGATCACACTAGGGAGGCGATTGGCTTGCGGGGCGTTCCCAGCATCTGCACCACCAGACGGGCACTCCCGGACACCCCTCTGAGCCGGGACGCCCTCAACAGCATGGCCACTGCGCTGCTCTTTGAGAACCAGCACCTGGGGCAGAAGGTGGCGTGGGACCCGAGGGGCTTCTGGCACGTGGCGGGGTGCTGCTTCGAACCCTCACCAGCCACCTTTGCTGGACTGGTCAAGGCCTATCTGGACGGGTGGCGGCTTGTTCACAGGATAGAGTGGCAGAGGAAGGCCGATGAGGCCAGGAAGCAAGGCGGTGGCACGGCACCACCCCCGCAAGCCAGCGCGGCATCCGCTCCCCGCGCGCTGCCGGAGAGACCCATGGACAGCAGCGAGCAGGAAATGAGACGCTTCGCTCAAGGTGGGTGGGTGTGTCTGGTGGTCTGTCTTGTTGATTGGGTCAATCCGATACGTGCGGCCAGGCCAGCGATGGGATGGATGGGCGCAATGCAATGCGTGTTGGTCATGCCATGTTGTGTTGTGTGCACTGCAGGCCAGGCCAACAGCAGCAGCCCTGTGCTGACTCACGGCCCTCTCATGCAAATGCCCGTTAGCACGAAGCTTCCCATGACAAACGGTACGGTTCACACCACGGATGGATGCGCCAGACAGGAGCGCTGGCAATTGTGCTGTGCGTGTGTTCGTCTGTGGTTGATGAATGCATCTCAGACATGGCTTCCCCGGCCTCCCCGGCGCCCCAGCAGCACCCCTCACCCCAGCAGCACAGCCACCGCCCCCCCTACCAGCACATTCAGCCGAGACCAGCCGACCTGCCCTTCCATGTCGAGGCCGTGCAGAGACCACCAGACCAAGGCCAGGGGCGGCAGAAGCAGAAAAAGAAAAGAGCGGCGCCCAAGCAGCCGCGGCGCCCCTGGCCCTGTGAGGCTTTGCAGCCGATCCTGACGAGCCTGGAGGAAGCGCTGCCTTCCGGCAAGCTGGGCATCCAGGTGATCTCCAGGACGGTCTACGGCCACATCCAGGGCTTCACCAGCGGCAATCCGGCAATGGAGTGTCTCGTCATCGGTGGGTGCGGTGTGCGGACCGCCCTTGAGCGGGCCATCAACTGGCGGAACAAGCAGGCCGGTGCCAAGATGAATGGCTATTCGGTGCTGCGGGGCTATAGGGCCATACTCGATCAGCACGGCTGGGATGCCATCGACGAGCGGAGCGCCGAAGCGAAAGAGCCATCGGTACACATACACGAGCAATAACAGAGAACACAGAACACACACACGGACACAGATGCGATGCGATGCGATGCAGCACCCATTTCATTGCCTTACTGCCTTTGTCCTTCTCTCCCCTATGCCTTTTGTGTGTGTGTGCAGGACGCTTTGTGGGCGGCACGGCGTCCCACGACGCTTCCCATCATCGTCAAGCTGCGGGAACTTTGCGCCCCCACCCCTCTGTACATCACCCAGTACTACCACAAGGACACACGCCGTCTCCACGCCTTCGACGTCCACCTAGGCACGCCCCGCACGCCCACCGGCGCCCGGCAGGCCGTCACCAAGCTGGTGCGCATCAACGGCAGGCCGGTCCGGGCCGCCCTTGAAGAGGCCATCAAGGTACGGAACGAGGCCCGGGAAAGGGCTCAGGCCATCACGGGCTACCAGAAGCTGTTTGACGAGCATGACTGGAGGTGGGAGGAGGACGAGGCCAGGGAGCAGTCTTCTCCGGCGGCTGCCGCTGCCACCGGTGTGCCTGGTGTGGCTGCTGTTTTTGCGGCGAGACCAAACGGCACCGGGGCGGCTCATCTGCAGCAGCACATGGGGGACATGAGGATGGGGGCGCCGACGGCTCGCTCGCTGGCCGCTGACAGAAGAATTGCTGCAGCATGGCAGGCAGCGATGAATACTGCACGCCAGAGGTCCATTGCCGGCTTGGCGACCCCACTACCCCCGCCATCCCCATCCCCGCCACTGCCGCCACCCGTCCGTCCCACCCACCGTCACCTGGTATCAGGATCCTCCCCGCCGTTCGCACCGCTAGCCGCCGCACAAGCCAGGGTAAGAAACAGAGGGCAGAAAGAAACGACACGACACGACACGACACAGGGAGCTGGGAATGAAGGCATCGTGTTGATTGAATGGATGCGTGTTGTTCTATCCCTTAGTCATCTGACCGCGGTGCCGTGCTGCCGCCACCCAAGAAAGCAGCACCCCAGCCCACCCCCACCCCGATGCAGACGCTGCCCGCTCTAACACAGGAGCAGCCCTACCAACGGCAACAAAAGGCTCCCTCTGCCGAGCCACCAGGCGCACAGCCACCAGTGCCCTCTCAGCCTCAGCCTCAGCCCGTCCCCTCACCAGCCCCCGCTCCTCCGAAGCCACAGAATGGCGACAACAAACAGCAGCCGGCGGCAACGACTGACACGGAGCAATTGCAGAAGATGCCCCCACCAGATCTCCCACCCGAGCGTGTGTCGCCGGCTGCGAGAGACGACCGTCGGGAAACGGCCAATGCCCAAGAAGAGAAGGCCGAGGACGCAGCAGAAGTGGGAGAAGAGGCGGTGGTGAAGGCGCAGGATGAAGCTGCAGTGAGCGAGGAGGCGCACGCCGGTGCGTCTGACGACTCCCCAGTGCGCCAAGATTCGAGAGCGCTCGCGCCGCCATCGCCCCCTCCTGCTGCTGCCGGGGCTGCTGCTGCCGCGTGTGGTGGTGGGGCCGACCAGGCCGAACAGCCGATGCAACAACAACAACAAGAGCAGCAGGAGCAGCGAGAGGTCCGGCGGCTGGCTGTATCGGACATCACGACGGACCAGGTGCTGCAGCTGCTTCGCGCACAGCCGCAGCCGGACCTCAAGAGACTCGCTGACAAATTTGACGAGGTGAGTGACCGAGAGCAACACAGACAAGGCGCATTCCATTCATCCATCACGCATTGATTCCAATGTGTGTGACTAACTAACGTGTCTGTCTGTCTGTCAGCTCAAGCAGTCTTCCCTCACCCCGTTCACCACCTTCGAAGACCTGGTGTGTCTGGTGGAGTCACCCGATGAGCGCACCGAGCTGCTCGCCGAGGTGCCCATGAGCAACTCCCGCTTCTTTCTGCTCCGCTGCTTCGTCAAGGCCAAGAAGGAGGAGGCCGCCACACACGGCGGCATCGCCATCGACATGGACATGGACACAGGAGACCATGCAGACGGGGAGGGGGTGGAGGCGATGGACAGCGAGGGGGTGGCTGCCCTGCTCGAGTCCAAGGCCGTTACGCTGCCTGACGACACCCTCAAGCAGCCTCTGGCGGAGCTCATCAAACACATCCGCGAGGTGGGTGTGTGGGTGTGAGGGCGAACGAAGAGCAATCAATCGCTCCGTCTGTTCTTCTGTTGTGCAGAAAGATGTCCCCGGCAGCGTGTTATCCCGGTTGAGTGCCCGTCGCGGCCCCTCGGCGGCATTGTCGTCAGCCGAGGAGGCCGAGTGGCTGCGTGAGCTGGAGGGGCAGCTGAGGCTACCGTGGCACATCAGGCTGAAGCGCCCGGTGCGGGAGATGCTGGGCGTCAGCAGCAGCAGCGAGCAGCTTGGTGGGGGGCCTGGGGCTGGTGGCAGCAGCATGATGGTGGTGCGGACCAAGACGGAGGCTAGCGACTAGCGGTGCTGCAAGGTGTCGTGTCGAGGGGCTGGTGAGTGAGAAGTGTGTGTTGTGTGTGTGTGTGTGTGTGTGTATTAAGGTAGGGGACGATTGATTGATGCGCTATGGTGTGTGTACGCAATGCTCCGGTGTAGTGAGTGAGTGAATCAGTGAGTGGATTGACTCCTTCCACCTACCTGGCTACCTACCTGATGCGATGGATGTCCTGTGTGGACGAGTGCATGCGATTTGATTCATTGGCCGAATAGAATGAAAGGTGCGTGTGCGTCAGTGTGTGTTCGCGGCGGCGGCACATTCATTTCATTCACATGACCCACACATCACATCGATCGGATTAACGACACACTCACATAACGAACGTCATGTCTTTCTGTCAGACATTCACCCAACCCCCCACTCACCAGGCCACACATGACATGGCATGGAGTGGGTCAGTCAGGACGGTTTCTTCTTCCCCACCCAGCGATCCAGCCACTGCTTGGCCCACTCCAACTCGCTCTGCTCGTCCTGCACAACCGACGAGTCCTTCACAGAGATGATCCGAAAGATCCTCGGACCACCCGTCTGAACAACACAAGTAAGGGAAAGATACATGCCGAGAGAGAGAGAGGGAGGGAGAGATTTGTGTCCTGCCTGTTGAAAGATACGAGGATGTGTGTGTATCGGGTGGGTGGGTGGGTCTGTGTGTGTGGTGTGTGGATTCATTCTTACGCAGAAGCTGAAGACGACGATGGCTTTCCTCGTTTTCCATTCGCCCGCTTCCTCCTTGCCGCCGTCCATGCCGATGGTGATGCTCTTCTTCCGCTTGAGGCCCTTGTACTCCGCATACTAGGGAATGGAATGAAGCCCAGCCCGCAATGAACCCACGGCAGTGAGCAGCGCGTCGATGTGTGTGGGTGCAGTACACACACACCTGTTCATATTCGATCCTGGAGGTCAGCTGAATGAAGGACAGCTCCCGATCGCCGACCGTCTCCTTCATCGTCCTCGCCTGCACACACACACACATACAGACAGATAGACAGACAGGCAGACACACAGGGGCGGCGGCATTGCATCTACGAGTGCTGCTCTGTTGTCTTGTGTCGTGGTGTGGTGTGGTGTGGTGTGACGTGTGTGTCTTCCTTCACTTCACACCTACCTGCACCAGTGCGCCTTCCTTTGGGATGACGTCCCACACCGCGGCATTCGGGGGCTTCAACGTTAGCCACTCCTGACACATGTATGTGCGACAGCAGAACGGGACAGAAGGCGACTTTCAGAGGGAAGACGGTCCTATGTGCGGCACTCATTACCTCACCATAACAGCATACGATGTCGCCATGTTCTTCTCGGCTATCTCCTCTGATCAACAGACGCCACCCACAGGCAAACCGCATGACCCCATCTCTCCCCTCTCTCTCTCTCTCTCTCTCTGTGTGTGTGTGTGTGTGTGTGTGTGTGCCCTCTACCCCACTTGCTTTCATGTCTTTGGTGGCCATGTGGAAGCGCATGAAGGTCTCCATAAGCACATTGTTGATCTCGTCCACACTGCCCTCCAGGCGCTCACGAGGACCCTCCACGCCGCCCTCGAGCCTGTTGTACGCCCTGCACACACACACACACACACACACACACGTTTGCAGAGGAGAGGAGAGAGCCGACGCGAAAGAATGATGTGTGTGTGTGTGTACCTTTTGATCTTCGCGAGGTTCCAGCTCAGCTCAATCGCGTCAGGCAAGAACGCTCCCTGCATGCTTTTGTCCCTGATCCAGAAGGGATCCTGCACACGCAAAAATGCAAGCCAATGAACATGGTGCAGCCAGAGGAGAGAGGCAGATCTTTGTCCTCACTCACCGCCACACGAGGGGTGTCGGGCAACAGTGAGGGCTCCGGCTCGTGAGATCTCCTACTCAGCCCCAGTCGGGCCAGAAAGCTGACCAGCCGCCGCTGTGCGGCCGCTGCTTCAGGCTGATGAGGAGGACAATGCGACGCCCGTCTGCATGCCACCCCGGTGGCGCCACGAACCAGCGGCTCCATGACTCTTCCTGCTCCCAACGTATCAACACGCTATCTATCCACACAGAGGGCTGCCTCCCGCGTCCCCATTCGGTCGCGAGCTCAAGCTCGCTGAGAACGCCAAAGACAATGCCGCAATTGCAACGCATTTGGATGAGCATCTCAGCATCAACAGATACCACCCTTGGCGTATCAGCTTGAAAGACCGTTCATTCGAGCAGAATCGCATTTGAGTCATCTTCTGGTCGCTGAGAGGACTGGATGAACGAGCAGCCCGGCGCTTGCCATTCCTGCGGCTCATGGTGACAGCCAGAAGAGCCGCCTCTCTCAACCGTGCTGATCGGGCCTCCTCTCCATCAGGGGTGAGGCAGCCGTCATCATTTCGAGCCATAGCATCTGCACCACAGCGCAAAGAGCACCGGCAGCAGCCTCCCTGCCCATCGCCCGATGAGGCGGTGTCCATTCAGCAGCCCTCATCGGCCCGGCAAGCGAGGAGGAAAGCTGCGCATCGAGGCCTCTGGGGGGTGTTGCGGGTTTTGCTATCCCTCGGTGGGCTGGCGGTTGGTGCAGGAGTGCCCCAGATTCAGCTGTCGTACCTGACGCCGTCACAGGGGCCCTCTGACGGGGTGAGCAGGAGCAGCGAGAGAGATGCAGCCGCATGGAGATGGGTGGATGCTATGCTGGACGTGTGGTGTGTGTGTCTTGTCTGACAGGGCACCAAGGTGACGATCCATGGGTACGGCTTCAGAGCCAAGCCAGACGCCCCTCCACCCCTTCCACCAATGCCGGCCAATGCCACCTCACTATCCTCCGCAGACCAACAGCAGCAGCAACAGCCCCCAGCAGCAGCCACAGCAGGAGGCAACGCCACCTCCGCCACACATGACAGCAACGGCACCATTGCTGCATCACCACCATCAGCCCCAGCCCCAGCCCATGAGTTGTATGTGCATCTAGATAACATCGACGGTCAGTACCGGATAGTGGAGCCGCTCAAGGTGACCGAGAAGCAGATCGAGTTCGTGACGCCCGGCGGTCTGAGCGACAAGGGGTGCCTGGTCAGCGTCCACATACAGAAGGACTTCGTCGAGACCGCCGAGGAGCGGACTCTCTTCTTCAAGGCGAGCGACCGCCATGATCGGGGAGAGGGAGAGGGAGATGTTGGCTGGTCATTCACTCACTGGCGACCTGTCTGTCTGTGAGTCGGTTGGTTCAGGTGTTCGAGCCACCAGTTGTGGAGAGCTTTCAGCCCTCAAAGGCCTTCATCTCGGGTGCGGTGCGTCTACGGCGCTTGCACCAATGCGTCAATGAATAACTGATGTGTGGATATATATATGTGTACGTGTGTTTGTAGGCGGCACCACCATCCATGTGTTCGGCCGCAACATCTTCCCGTCGGACACCATCAAAGTCAAGTTCGTCTCCTCGTCGGCATCCACCACCGTGGAAGGTCAGCAACGCGTCCCGTCCCAGCTCAAGTCAACTTTTGTACCACGCCGTGACTTGCCCCCACGCCTTTGTCGATGTCTTTCAGGCAAGTTCATGATGCTCCCGGCGCCATCAGCTGCTGCTGCCGCGGTGAGCAGCACACAACAGTCAGTCAACTTGCCCTGATCTGATCCATTCACCCCCTCTGCACTGCATGCCATGCCATGCCTGTCTGCTGTCCCCACCCACAACACAGACCCTCACCCCTCCCCAGCCCCCCAAACAGCCGCAGCAGTCTGCACCCGAAGCAGACACACAGGCAGATGTCAAGGCACCCCAAGCACCCGCGGCAGCAGCAGCAGCCGACACGGGATCATCTGATCAGTCGGCCGATGCTGCACCGGTCGATGCTTCAGGGGGCGCTGCGCCCAGAGAGGGGACCGGGGTGGGTGCTGGCGGTGGTGCGATGGAGGATTCGACAGACAACGGCAGCTCTGGTGACGAGGCGGCGTCATCATCATCGCGTGAAGAGGTGAAGAGCGAGGAGGGGTCGCCTGACGCGCCTTTGGTGCCGGCAGTGGTGTGCGAGAGCCCCGTGTGGAGGCGGAAAGAAAGTCAGTGGGGGGATGGGAGAAAGAGGAGGGAGAGGACACAGACAGGAGGGAGAGGAGGGGGAGAATGCTGCTTTTCTGGGCTGCATGGCTGGCTGCATTTTGTTTGCTCTGCAGAGGTGGAGATCTTCATATCGATGAACGGCCAGCAGTACCACGGCTGCAACTGCGAAACGCCACCCAACTTCACCTTCGAAGGTCGGCAGCGACAAACAGACAGACCAAACGACCACGGAAATCAAACCCGGCCATCATAGCTCGGCACCTGCCTATCTGCCTGTGTGTCGTTCCGCTGCGGTGCAGAGGAGACGACTCTGTTTGGTGACGTGGCTAAAGTGAAGGAGCGGCCTGTGGCAGCAGCACCCGAACAAGACGATGACAGCGAGGTCAGTCGATGACACCCAACCAACACGCCTTGCCGGATGGATCTCTGACCGTTGTGTGTTGCATTGGTGAATGGATGTGTGTACGTGCGTGTGTGTGTGTGTCTGTGTGTGTGTGTGTGTGTGCAGGAGAGCGACACGAAACAGACGGTCAAGGTCATCAGTCAAGAGCACCCCCACCTCACCGCCGGCGGCTCATCGGAGGGCGGCGCCGCAACTGACAAGGCGAAAGCGGACCCCATGTCCGTTCACCTCATCGACTCTAAGGTCACATATACCCCACAGCTCTAGCCGCCCAGAGAGACCACGCACCACTTCGCTCTCTGTCTTTCTGGGCGCTCAGGAGAACCAGTATGTGCTGTCGAAGCCCAAGAACTCCTCCGGCTATCGAGAGGACTTTCGGCTGATCATGGATGTGGTCATCCTCATCGCCGCTGCCTCCTTGGGCGGCATCGTGTCGGCCCTCGTGCGTCAGCCGGTGGTTCTGGGGTTCCTCGCCGCCGGCATGATCGTCGGACCAGGGTGCCTCAATCTCATCGACCAGATCATACAGGTGGACTCGGTGGGACAGCTGGGCGCCTGCTTCCTCCTTTTCTCACTCGGTAAGTGAGTGTCACCCCCACCTCCCCCCAACACACACAGGGGATGGGAGTCACATGGTTGGATGATCTTCATTCAGGTCTGGAGTTTCACCCGAGGAAGGTGCGTCGAGTGAAGAAGGCGGCCATCAACGGCGGCATCATATCGCTGTTTTTCCTTCTGGCGTTTTTCGCCGGCATCGCTGTGGCCATGGGCACCTCCGTCAGGGAAGGTGAGGGTCCCGATGCGCGAACCAACCATGAATGGCCTCCAACACACGTATCGTATCCATGTGTTGTGTTGTGTGCAGGTCTGTTTGTGGGTGCGTTTGTGTCGATGTCTTCGACGGCCGTGTGTGTCAAGGATCTCTCCCAGAAAGGCATTCTAGAGGTGAGTGAGGAGCCGCCGGCGAGACACCCACCCAGAAGCCAAACACACCCTTGTGTGTGTGGGTGGTGTGTCCACTTTTCGTGATTCGTCTCAGACGGTAGAGGGCCAGGCGACTGTGGGGATACTGATCATCCAGGACGTGATGCTGGGCGTCATGCTGGCCGTGCTGCCGAGCCTCGGCGAGACACAAGTCACTTTCACAAGGGTATGCACGCCGTATGTCTGAAATTCCCACCACCCACGAGGAGGCGTCTGATGGCACTGCGTGTCTGTGCCTGTCTGTGTGCAGATACTGATGAAGCTGAGCGAGCCACTGGTGATGCTGGCGGCATATGCTGTCGGTAAGGAAGACTTGCCTGCCTGCCTGCCTGCCTGCAAACTCATACAAGTCGTTGCAATGCATCCGTCCTTCTCTCCCCTCCGCTCCCTCTTGCAGTGGCGTCGTTGGCTGCGGTTTTCACGAACCCGCCCCTGTTCATCCTGGTCTCCAAGATGAAGAGCAAGGAGCTCTACCTTCTGGGTGAGCCAGTCAGTGATACGCCGCACCGACTATTCTCTCGAGTGTTTTGTGTCTGCCGTCATTATGATGATCAGGCAACGTTAGTTTTGCGCTTGGGGTGGCCGCTCTCACCGACAGTAGGCACCCACCCAACTAAGCCACTCACTCACGAGACACACAGCGCAGAGACAGCACAGCATCGTGACCTGTGAGCGGTGCGGTGTGTCTGTCAGTCTTGGGTCTCTCCCTGGAGATGGGCTCCTTCGTGGCGGGGGTTATGCTCACACAGGTGCACACACAGACCCACACACACAGGCCGCATAATTGCAGACGAAGAGACCGTTTTGTGTTGTGTTGTGTTGTGTGGTGCCATTCGTGTGTATGTCAGCTTCCGAGCGGTCTGCTGCACGAGACCGAGGAGCTGGTGGAGCCGCTCAAGGACGTCTTCGGCGCCATGTTCTTCGCCTGCATCGGACTGGTGGGCACTTCAGACATGGATGCGACTGTGTGCGACTGTGTGTGTGTGTGAACGTGTAGGCGATTGACCCGCTGTTTATGTGGGACAATATGCCCTCCATCCTCGGGGTGCTGGCCGCCATATTCGTCGCCAAGGCCGTCATCATCACCCCACTGGTGAGTGCGGGAGAGACACACGGACGGCCCTGCGGGACGCACAGCCGATGTATGCCTCTTTGTGTGCGTGACGTCGCAGCTGCTGCTGGCAGACCTGACAATCCTGAAGGCATGGCGAGTCGCCCTGACACTCGCCGTGAGCACTCTCCCACACCCACACACGCACATCCACTCACATGTCTCTCCCTCTCTCTCTGTGTCAGCACATAGGTGAGTTTGCCTTCGTGTTGGCTGGCAAGGGCTGGGCGCTGGCCCTCATCTCGCGGCAAGTGTACCTGCTGCTCATCGGCACCGCAGCCATGAGCCTCCTGCTGACCCCCTTCATCCTCAAGATGATCCCAACCACAGGGTGCACCTCGCTCGACCAGCGCGGGATAGGTATCCCTATGACGCACGTCGGCAAGGCTCAATACTCACCGCGTAAGCACACAACAGGACACAACACACGTGCACAAGACAGTGAGGGAGGGAGGGAGGGAGGGGGGGGATGGTCGGCCGTCGTGTCACTATTTGGTCCATGGGCAGAGCAATATGACTATCCAGTGAGGCCCTTTCTTGCCTCATTCTGGGTGCCGCTGAAGAAGCGGGCCCCCACCCCCCCTCCCTCCCCCTATTACTCTGTTGACGACGCACACACTGTGGATCATCCTGGCTGTCTGCTTATGTCACCGTCAGTTTCTTCCTCTGGCCAGCTGGACGGCCTCAGAAGCCACCCGGAGGGCCTCTCCCCGGTGGCCATCAAGGTCTCTCCCGACGAACCCTCTTCAGCGTCATCGGCGTCCATCACCAACACGGCTGTGGGGCGGCAGAGGCACACTGCTGGCAAAGAGGGCGAGAGGGAGCAGCTCCACAACGGGGTGGTGCAGCATGGCCACATGAACGGGTGCAGCAGCAGCAGCATCGAGATGAAGCAGCTGGACGGCCATGCGCACAGCGGACATGGGGGCCAGGCGGGAGAGCTGACCCCCAACTGCAGCACGAGGCTCAACTCGATCGACCCCAGCTAGCGATGGGATGCGACACGACCAGTGGTGTACACGGTGTCTTTTGGCTGCGTTCGTTCGGTTTTTTCCGTGTGATACTGCGGCGTAGATAGACTGGTGGGAGGGTGGGTGTGGTGTGGTGTGGTGTGTTGGTCGATAGACTAGTTAGCTGATTGGTTAGCGCTTGTGTTGGTTGTGTGCGTGTGGACTCATTCACTCATTGATTCATCGTGTAATGAGAGAACTAATTCGTTTCGTTCTTCCTCTCTATTGGTTGTTGGTTTTATGGTACGCCTGTGTCTGTGTGTGTGTGTGTGTGTGTGACGGACGGATCGACTGTCTATCTCTGACTGACAAATGTGTTGATATCCATCCATCCATCCATGTGTAAGAGAGCATCTTGCATGTCAGTCAAGTCACCTGGGAGCCCTCCCAGGCCTTCGATGATGCATGTGTGCAGGCTGTCCCACCTCCTGCCGAACGGGAACGATGCCAAGCAGCACCCAACCATGGGCTGCTTACCAGCCTTCACACTCGGCATGTGATGGAACAACACTACACACATGAGAATCGGAAGAGAAACCACACGACAAGCCGACCACCACCACCACCACCTCCACCTCCACCTCCACCACCATCGTCGATTCCTCCCTGAACCGACCCACCCCCTCTCTGTCTCTGCTCGTCTCGCGTCTCCTGACCATGCATCCACCTCGAGAAGATACACAACAGCCGCCAAACACGTTCGTCGGCAGCCACGCGTGTCTCATCGAGCTGAACGCCAGATCGCGAGGAACAAGACAAGCAGAAAGACAGGAAAGGGCCCGCAAACAGCAAGACAATACTAAGTGCACTCGCGACTCCTGACTGGAGTTGCGCATCCACCCACCATCGGCACACCACACACCACACCATCACCTGCTGCCGCTGCCGTCGCTGCTGCTGCTGCTGTCACGTGTGTGGCAATGATGTCGGCACTGCCATGACCGCAGACACACACCACACCACACCACACCACACCACAAAACGCCCCACTCCTTTACTCACTATACTCCCTCCCTCACCGGCAGACAGACGTCCGGCGCGCCTCACCCACATCCCTTGGTGGACAGGCATGCGCCAGCCGCCCCTCCCCTCCGCATCTCCGCCTCTCTCCTTCTCAGCACCGAATTACACGCACGCAAAACAGGTAGGCAGGTAGGCAGGCAGGCAGGCAGGCATGGAGAGGTACCCCAAAAGAGCAAAAGGCAGGCTGTAGTGGTCGTGTTGACGGACATACAGATGTACACACAGCAGCCAGCTGGACTAGGTAGGCTGACCCTAGAGAAGGGGTAGAAATCGAAAACGAAAAAAGGCCCTCTCCCTCCTGGCCAGGAGACCTGTCTCTACCTCCCTATCCCGTGCCGACCGACCCGTATTCTACACAAGCAGCAGCCAACCCAACAACCCAGCAACCCTCTGCCCCTTTACACAAACGACCGACGCCCATCACACCCCACCCCATCAATTCATTCACAGCTCGGTATGCACAGACGGCTGCTCGGCAGCCTGTCGCGGCGGCGCGCCAGTGGTGTCCGCTCGCGGCGGTGTTGTTGCCGTCGTCGGCTCATCCCCTTTCCTCCCCGCCTCGGCCCCGTGCGACCCTTCTGCTTTCGCCGATGGTGACGATGCTGACATATTGACAGCGTGCCTTGAAAGGTCCGGGTGTGCCGAGTGAGGGTGAGAATGAGAGTGCAGGTGGTCCCCGCCACCACTACTGCCGCCCGTCTGCACGTGCAGCCCTGCGTGCGGTGATGCCGCTGACGACGCAGACTGATAAACCGGCACGTGGTTGGCCGGGGCGGGAGGATTAGCGGTGGGGTGCACCGTCTCCACTAGGCCACTAGGGGGGAGGTGGTGCGGGTGGTCCATTGAGAGAGGGGGGAGGCCATGGCCGCCGCCGGCAGTGGGATGTGGCTGCGGGGCGCACATGCAGCTGCAGCCTGGGGGCAGCGGCTGGCCGTTCCACTGTGCCGAAGGGTTGTAGTCTGGCGAGTTGGGGATGGACGAGTGGACGGTGGTGTGGATGAAGGTGTAGTTCCAGGTGGGGGAGGTCAGCCGGTGCTGCTTGTAGTGGTCGTCGATGTGGTATATGTCGCGCAGCCACGAGAAAACCGTCGACTGCTCGCGGCCGGTCGACGTGCGGCTGATGAACTCCAGAGGCTCCACCAGATCTAGTGCCACAAATAAATGCGCACAGAGGAAAGGAGCAGACAGACAGGTGTTGTGCTGGTGTGTGTGTGTTGCGCATCGGTGTCTGTCTGTCTGTGCGGCAGCCCTGCAGGCCTACAGATGAAGTGTGCCGCTCTTTCCACGCCCGGGAACTGTCGGAGGTTCTCTATGGTCAGAAAGCCGAACTGATAAAAGTACTGCAGCCGCGAATACCAGTGCACCAACCGCCGCTGCACACACACACACACAAGACATCAGAAGAACGATATCGATGCGGGTGGGTTGGGTGGGGTGATGGTCTGTCTCATGTGTCGCACTCGGCTCACTCACCCTTGCCCTGTCCACTCTGCGGCCCAATGCGTCCCGCTGCTTCCTCAGGTCAAGGAACTCGTGAGGGTACCTGTCACGACCATTCTCTGACACACGCGCACACAAAACAAAACACAACAGAGTGTTTTCTTCGATATCACTTCTTGTCGCTGTGTGTGTGTCTGTGTGGGGACCTTCGATGAACTCCTCGAGTATTTCGAGTGCGTTGAGGGTCTCCTGGCTGGCGTACTCGACGTGTATGGCGTTGAATGTGTTGGCGCGCTGGAGGTTCTTGGTCAGCGTCAGCATGTTCAGGTAGTAGTAGGTCGTGATGAGCAGCGACAGCAGCGACACACATGTGGCCAAATTCAACACCGTCGGCCATTGCATAGTGTATGGTGGGATATGATGGGCACACAACGCTGAGCGAACAACAGCTCCGGCAGGAGCACCTCTCCTCTCTCTGCACTTCTAAGCTCGCAACCTTTCCGCGAAACCGAGCATCGCAAACTGATTGGTGAGGGTCTTGAAGGCTCACAGATCTGTTGTCTGACAATGAAGTCCGCTCTGTCCATGCTCGTTGCCCTGGCGCTGGCCGTCGCCGCCTCGGCCTTTGTCGTCCCCTCATCGCGGCTGTCACTGCGTCAGATGACTCCCCCGATGCGCGGCATGACGCAGCTGCAGATGGCCCAGCTGCGGGAGGGCTCCATGGTGCCGCAGGTGTCATGGCCCATCCGCCAGTACATGGGGTCCACCTACACGACTGCCGACGGCAAGCCCAACCCCTACATCTGGTCTGAGATGACCTTCGATGCGGTGCGCTGGCTGGCTGACAGGCAGGGGCATCACGGGAGTGAGAGACCTATGCTGGCGGGATGAGAATGGCGCATTTGTGTCTCGACTTGACTGACCGTGGGTCATGTGATGTGATGTGATGTGATGCAGGTGTTCCGCGGCAAGCGCGTGGTGATCTTCAGCCTGCCGGGCGCCTTCACGCCCACGTGCTCGTCTGCCCACTTGCCGCGCTATGAGGAGCTGTACCAGGAGATCAAGGGCCTGGGCGTCGACGAGGTCTACTGCCTCTCTGTCAACGACGCATTCGTCATGAACGCCTGGAAGAAGGCGCAAAACGTGAGAGGCCTAAGTGGAACGATGCGTGGATGGATGGATGGATGTTGCTGTGTGTCCGTTGGTTGGATGGGTGGTGAATCAGATTGGCGCGATCAAGCTGATTCCTGACGGGAGCGGCAAGTTCACTGAGGGCATGGGCATGCTGGTGGACAAGGACAACCTGGGCTTCGGCAAGCGGTCATGGCGGTACGCAATGGTCGTCAACGACGGCGTCATCGAAAAACTGTTCGTCGAACCAGGTCAGTCAGAGCGGTTAACCGACTTGAGAGCAGGGGGCACCGGTCACTGCACAGATCTCTCTCTCCTTCTCGTGTGTGTGTGTGTGTGTGTGTGAATGTGTGCAGGCTTCCAAGACAACGCTCCCGACGATCCTTACGAGGTGTCCGACGCCGACACGATGGTGGCCTACCTCCGGGCCGCACGACGATAGACAGACAGACGAGTGGCGTGTCGAGTGTGTTTATCCATGTGTGTACGTGACGTACCTGTGTACCCGTGATTTTGTTTGACAGACATGTGGATGAATGAGTGCCTTTCTGACTGACGGTTGGTGTGAGAAGATGGATATATGGGACTTTCCGTGCTTCAGGTCGGCTCCATGTCGTGTATGCGGAGTGTGTTGACGTCTGGTGTTGGGTGCCCTCTGGACCGACCATCCTCACTGGCACGTGTGGATGCCCTTACCGTTCGGTCACCCAGCACGAGACGTGAACACACGAAGCAGCCACATGGAATGGCCTCTTTGTGCTCGTACGCATTTCACGTGACGCTGCTCGATCTCTTTACCCTTCCTAGCTGCGCTGCGTTCGCTGTCTTGCATAGCTCGATGGCACAGCTGAGCAGACTCCTCGTTTGTGCGACCGAGTTGTCGAAGGCGTTGTGCGTAGCGCAGCGGGAAGAGAAAGCAATGTGACATGATGCGTCAGTGTGCCGCTGGTGTCCCGCTGATCAGACAAGGGATAGATGGATGGATGGATGGAATGCAATGTGACCAGGGGAGGGGTTTGTAGGGTGGGGATGGGTGCTTGCGGGACACACACACACTCTTGGCCAGCCGGATTTTCTCTTAGTTTTTTCGGCTGCTGCTGTGTGTCGGGGGTGCGTGTGGGTGGGTGCAATGCATGCAATGTCTGTGTGACGTGTGTAGGTGCTGCTGCGTGCGTGAGTGCCATGCCTTGTGTCGTCTGGACTGATGACGATGGACGAGGCATTTCAATGAGCGCAGAGAGGAGCGGGGAGAGAGAGAGACAGAGACCTCAAAGAGACATCATCCATCTCAGCCCGTCCCTCGTTCAATCGACAGACACACGTATCTGCAGATTTTACATAAACATGTGACAAACGTCCGATCCGAGCGTCCGTCTCTCTGTGTCGCAGTCTAAACGTCTATACTATCCTCTGCCAGCTGCTGCATAGACGCATGCGTCATCGCATCTTGAACCTCGTGACGAATTCGACCAATGCGTCAGCCACCTGCTCGGGCCGGTCCTCCTGTGGTCAACACACACGACAAGTAGGCCACCAACACGTGAACACTTCTCTCGATCACCCACCCACCCACCTCAATGACATGACCGCTGCGGATGAGCTTCAGCTGGAACTTGCCTGTGGAACACATACGCACGACACGCACCGATCCCACACGTGTGTGTGAATGATCCGCTTACCCTGCATTTGGGCAATCATGAGCTCCTTGTCCAAAGTGTCCTGCCCTGATCGGAAGACAACATGACACACGCACATTCATTCGGAAATGACACACGAGAGCTGAGCTGTGCAGGTGTACCGTGTGTCAGTCGTACCGGCAAGCAGCAGCAGTTTGACGCATCTCGATTGCAGGAAGAGGCCTGACAGGCCCCTGAACCAGCCATCCCAGAACCCGGCCGTCTTCATCAAGTCGCACCGCCACACCCTGCACACACACAAACACACACACACATATGACAGTGTTGGCTGTGTGTGCCTGTCTGACCATCGGTCATCTCGCTGCACCAGCTGCGAAGGCACAGATATCCTCGCCGAATCTCGATTCAGCAACGTCCCTGATTGCACATGGACGCACACACAGACGGGGGAGGCGTTACCAGGGCATGCAGGCTCTCTGATTGACGTACTTGAGCTGACGGCCCATTCGACGGCCTCGTGGGGCGAAGCGAATGACGATGGCATCCTCTCCACCACCCCACGCATGTGCGGCAGCGCCTCAAGTGCTGTGCCTGCACCACATAAAACGCATGAGTGAGCGCAGTGAGCCATCCATCCAGCCATCCATCCATCCATCCATTTATCCGTCTTGACGCACCTTCGACCACATCGACGACTACGAGCCCCTTGAGGTTGGGCACCCGCCCTGAAGCGGCTGTCCGCACCGCTATCGCCCCACCCATGCTGACCAGAGCGCAGCGAACAGACAACCACATCAATCAATCGTTGAATAGAACTGCAAGCACGTCTTACAAGCCCACCTGTGGCCGACGAGGACGATGTCCGGTCCCTTTTGGGGCGGCAGCTTGATGGGGAGGGGCTTGGGGGGCTCTGCCGGGGCGGGCTCACTCTCACACACCTCATCAAACACCTGGCAGTCACACACACACACACACACACACACAGAGCATGGGATTCCAATCGTCTACAGCTTTCCGTGAAGTGTGGCGTGGATTGGATTGGATTGGATTGGCTTGCAGACATACCCACCTTCTGTATGAGGGCGAGTGCGTCCTGCACCAGTCGGTCGGCGCTGAAGTCGTCCTCGTCAGCGCACACCGTGCTGCCGTGTCCACGGCAGTCATACGCAATCAGCCGCACACTCTCACGAACCCTCTCCTGCAAACAGCAAACAACCACGCCAAGCCGCCATGCTGCCGATGCGATCTGTGTGTCTGCAATCGTCGCTGCTCACCGCCACAAAGCTCCAGCTGAGTGACGAGTGGCCTCCACCATGCAGACAGAAGACGAGGGGACCCCGCGTGCCGGTGCGATAGACGCGAAAGGTCTGAACACAGACAGACAGACAGACACAGACAGGTCAGGCTGGTGGGCTATGCAGACGAGTGCGGTGCTTACGTCAGTGTCGTTGATGGCAATGTCACGGCACGACTGCCAATACTGTTCCCACGATGGCAGGGGCTCCTCACTCGCCGCAGATCTGCCACACACACACACGAGATCAGAGGAGATGAGAGCAGAGGGATGCATGGCAGAGCAGAAAGACTGAACGATACATGAACCCTCGCACACCTATATGGATGCGATGAATTTGTTTTTGGCGCTTGATCTGACTCTTCGTCTGGGATGGATGGCAGCCCTCCAGGCACAGGCGGGGGCCGCATCTTTCTCAAGACTCCGAAAAGCTCGCGCCGTCTGCTGAGCTACATTGCTGGAAATGACCGATGGCTTGATCCTCTACGTTGGTCCTCTTATTAAGGTCGTCACGCGTCGAGAATTCGAGAGTGCGAGCTTGAGACATGAAAGATGTTTTTGTGTGTGTGTGAGTGTGTGTTCCCCTCGTTGTTTTTTCCCGTCCCGTCAGCCAGCTCTCTGTTTTTCTCACACGCCACCCTTTCTACGGGCACATCTACAACAGCCACCACCATCCACTGCCGAGAGCCCGCTGCCCTGCGGCGAGCAGTGGCTCCAAAAGGTGAGCGACTATTTCTCGTCTCTCGGCATGCATTGTGCACTGCTATATGGTGCTGTTGTGGCTGTATGCTATGCGTGGGTTGCAGTGGTTTAGGCATGTGGTGTTTCAGAACATCATGACACAGAGCTGCTATGTGTCGGTGCTACTACAGAGGGTCCTCAGGGTGCGTCCGCTGGTCAAGTTCTTGCTCAAGAGTAAGAAGCCGAGCCACGCGACACTGCAATGCAGCACAGCACAGGGCGACAGACGACGCACACACCGACTGCATCCTTGGTTGGACTCCTTCTCTTCTCTGTCTGTCGATCAGGCGGTGTGTCCTATCGGCTGCGGAAGGAGTCCCTCATTCACCGATTCGAGGCCTACGCGCCGAAGCTCAGGGGTACGTTTGACTGATGCCAACTGACGCAGACAGACAGACAGACAGACAGCTGGAGGCGGGAGAAGTCCACCACCGCTCACTGCTCTGCCTTGTTGATTCTTGTGTGTGTGCAGATAAAGGCACTGAGAACCTCGGTCGGTTGGCGAGGGGCGGCCGCGCCACGAGAGCTGACCACAAGGCACCGAGGTCCTCATTACTGTTGGAGACAGTACTCGTGACAAGGTAGGTAGGAGCCAGAGAAGGAAGCACCACACGCACCCACAAACAGACCACAGACACGGCGTCGCTCATCTGTCCCTCCCTCCCTCTATGTGTGTTGTCTGTCTGGTGTGATGGATGGATGGATCAGTGGGATGTGGACTGTTGCCGACGGCGGCCAAGGGGAGGGCCTCAACGCTCACCATAACCTCCGATAGCTCACCATAACCTCCGATAACAAACTGACTGCATCGTTCTCTGTCTGTCAAACAGGCGGTCAATCGTACACCCAGCGGAAGGACTCACTCATCCGGCGCTTCGAGACGTACACTCCCCGGCTCAGCGGTACGTTTGACTGATGCCAACTTATTCAGACAGACAGACAGACAGACAGGTGGAGGCGGGAGAAGTCCACCACCGCTCACTGCTCTGCCCCTTTGTTGATTCTTGTGTCTGTGCAGACAAGGGCACAGAGCACCTCGGGCATCTGGCGAGGGGAGGCCGCACCCTTCGAGCGGAGCAGAAGGCACCGAGTTCCTCACTCCTCTGGGAGACGGTGCTCGTGACAAGGTAGGTAGGAGCCAAGGAAGGAAGCACCACACGCACCCACAAACAGACCACAGACAAGGCCTCCCTCGCTCATCTGTCCCTCCCTCCCTCCCTCTATGTGTGTTGTCTGGTGTGGTGGATGGATGGGTGGATCAGTGGGATGTGGATGGATGTTTGTGTGGTGCTGGCTGGCGGCCACAGTGGGGGAGCAAGGGTAGAGTGCATCGTTGCCTACATTTTATATTCGTCTGTCTGATTCTCACAATTGTCTCGCACTGTCTCCAGGAATCGGGATAAATGGATGTTTGTGTGGTGCTGGCTGGCTGGCTGGCGGCCACAGCTAGTGGGGGTGAGAGTGTTTAATTAGGTTTCGTGGTGGCTGTACGTACGTTACGCGCTTTAAGACGGTCTGCGGAACGAACAGTTCCTTTCTCGTTTGTACGTACATATCTTGCTGTCGGATGAGCTCTTGCTTGCCGCATGCAGTGGCTGACTGTACGCGCGTACATGAATTCGAATTCGTTCAAGTGATGTGTGTCCATAGCACTCACTCCAGCCTCATGCAACGAATCACTGAGCGAGCACACAAATACATAAATACACACAGGAAAAGACACCCGGCCACCAATGGCATCCATCAGTCGACGAACACGTCAGACTGTGCCTTCCTAGGCATTCGATTGAACAGATGACACCGATCCATACGAATGTCTCCCTCCTTCACTGTCGACCCGGTCGGCCAGGCAGTCTTTGACGTCCGTATGTGGCCAGCTGTGAGTTTGGCCGGCTGGTGCGTACTGGACGAGCAACTCGCCCTCGACGGCCGTCACGACGCGTGCACAACCACAATCAGTGCAATTAAACTTTTGCTGTCGTGTGTATGTGGACGGAGGGAGTGGTTAATCGCATACCCCGCATTTGTGTGGGGTAATTAATGTGCCATTTCTTCAGCGTCGCGGCCGACTGGGCAAGGAGCGGCATGACGCTGCATGACCTACAGGTCGGAGACACGCCTGATAATTCTCTTCATGTCTCTGCTTGTCCACATGGCCGTGTCTCCTCCCTCACTCACCTCAGTCAAAGCTCCTGTTGGTCGTGGACGAGCTGGTCACACCCCAGCATGACTACGAGGAATCGATTCGCCCAGGGCGAGGACAAAACAGCACATCCGGAGCCTTTCTGTGGCCAATCTGATGACATACATACCACTCCAGCAGTGGCTGGCAGCCTGGAGGCCCACGAGCATGTGGGGGGCTGGCGAGAGCTGTACTGGACGTACCAGAGGGTCAAACAGAGGATGATGAGACACGCCGAATCACCGAATGTAATCAATAAGTATACAAAACGGATGCATGTCTACGCGAGAGCCCTGTCTGTCTGTCTGTCTCTTGTTGTCTGTCTCTTCTAGCTGCAAACGCAGATGAATGGCCGTGAAGACGGTGCTGTCGTGCAAAGGCCTGGTGCTCATCTGGAAAGGATTGTGACGGCAGCTATATGTGTCCAATGTGAGCGACGAAGGTGAGGCGGTTGACGCCAGGGTGCGGTCGTTTTCGGTGCATTCATATATGAGGTGGATGGATGCATCGACGGTATGCGAGGGACCGACAGCCACGACGGACACACTTGAGGCCTTTTCTGTCATGTGTGGACACAGCGAGGTGTAGTTCCGTCGCGGCCCGTGCATCTTGACTGCCGACTGATGTTGCGGCCGGTGAAACGAATGTTTGTGACAGGTGTAACTTTGTGGGCGTGTTGCGTGCGAGCAACTCAAGGACGGACTGGTCATGCGTCCGTCCAGCCTGGCTGCCATGCGTCTGTCTGCCTGTGGTCCCCCACTTCCCTCCCTCCCTCCCCACCTGCCCACCCAGCCATACGAATGCACAGTACACACACAGGTATCCACACATCATCATGACTGATCTTATGCGCACCCTATCGACGGCCGAAAAACCATAGGGCGGCTGCTCGATCTCGTCCGCTCCATGGCAGTGCCGCCGGCATCCATCCATCGCACTCTCAGACCGCTGCCCATGAAGCTTGCAGTCCGTCCAACACGAGACTCAATCACACAGGGCAGGCAGGCAGGCAGAAATGCGAGCAGCAAACCCAGCCACACTCACTCGCCCACCCCGAGCCGAGAAAACAACCACGTGGAGTGACTGACTGACTGACGCGTGGCCCTGCCCTGCCCTGCCCGCCATCCGCCAGCCGAGCTCATCCACCCATCCATCTGGCGTCCCATCCGCCACGTGGGGGGGATGCACAGGCGGCTGAACAGTCACACACACACACACACACACAGAGGGAGAGGGAGAGAGGGAGAGAGGGAGAGAGAAGAGGCCACACAAATGTCTGTCATGTGAACTCTTAACTCTCCTTCCAAGCACCCAATGCGCACCTCGGTCGGTTCTATCGGTGGCGGGTGTTGAGGTGGTGCTGGGGGTACATCTGGGCCATCAGCAGCCGCTGCATCGCACTCTCAGCAATGCCCCCACCGCCGCCCATGACGCTTGCAGTCGCCTGTGGGAGCACCTGTGCAATCGCCGGGAAGGGCTGGGGATGATGGTGCTGCGGGTGAGGGTTAGGATGGCTGTGGGGGTGTGCTACGGGCACCTCCCTTGCAGTCGCCGCACCGGCAGGCCACTGCCCCCACAGTGTCACGGCCTGCGGGTGGTGCCGCAGTTGGTACGGGTGCTGCCGCAGTTGGTACGGGTAGCCATTGGGCAGCTGCTGGGCGTATCTGATGTGACTGGCACGGGTGACGGGGCCGGGGTTGGGGATGCCGGCGCGGGGCATGATGGGGGCGTATTCACCGAACAAACTCGCCGGCACATCTGGGGCGAACACACAGCACACAAAGGATAGATAGATCCATGACATGACTGACGGGGTCCCCTCTGGCTGGTCTGGTCTCTGTGCATCGCATCGCATCCCATCGCATCTACCATTCCTGTATCCGCTGCGTGTGCGGGTACCATCACCAACAGTTCCTCCCACGGCATGGGCCTTGGACGCCTCGCCCATCGCAACACCACTGCCGCCGCCCCTGCTCACATGACATGTTCAGCGCATTCCGGAAGGCCTCGTCATTGGTGTCGCCCCGGGAGCTCTGAACGTCCTCGGCCGTGATTGCTCTGTCGATTGATGTACGCCCGCGTGACGATGTCGACAACGCGCCGCACGTAGTCCACCGGCACCAAACCGTCATCACAGAAGGGCATACCTGCCTGACACACACACGTGGCAGGGAGGGATGGCTGTGCGGTGTAGCCATTGGGTTGTCATTGTGTACTTGATGAACCGATTGGCCAAGGTTGAGTCGTCGCCCTTTGGCCACGGTCATGGTGATCGTCACTGTCGTCCCAAAGACGTCAATCGACAGCAACTGAACACACAACACACCAAAGACACTCACACAGATAGACAGATGGAGCCGCCCATCGATCGGCAAACGAGCTGTAGTCTCCGTCGGTCGTGGTTGATTTACCTACCGCATCGTCCTCATTATATATTGCCCGATTTGAGTAGTGGTTTGATGGCTATGAGCCTCTGGTGCTCGCAGGCCTTCTCTCTCCGCCATGGCCTTGCGGATGATGTCGGGCAGCTGGGCCGCCACAGACACCGGATCGCATCGCCACTGGCTGGATCGACCTCGGGCTGCTCACCCTCACCCTCACCCTGGCCGTCCTGCTGCTGGGGTCGGATTGTCCCGTGTGACGGGCGGGCGGGATGTGGACGTGCGTGGCGGTGGTGTCTCCTCAATTGGAGGGATTGGCCGTCAGGTACTCTACCCAATAGCTGGCTGCAGCACCACACACACAGATGGATGGAGACCACAGTGCGCCAATGCCATTCATCCCCTCCCCATTGTGTCGGTGCGTACACACCTGAATGTGGCGTCGTTCTGTTTGGCGTCGGGCTGTGTGATGTCGTCCACATCCCCAACCTCGTATACGGCCAACTCGCCGATTGATGAGCCTGAGGGAAACGCACACAGACGGTGGACAGTTGCCCTGTCCTAACGGACTGACTGCCGGCCGGGCTGACCACTCGTTGGGATCCTTGATCAGCGCCTCCCTCGTCAAACCGCCCATTCACCACACAGAGTGGCCAACACGCCACCTCGCAGCACACACAACTCATCAGCTGCACCTGCACCATCCACATGCACAGATCAGCTGCCATTGCAGACATCCCTCATCCAATTCCCGCCTTACCGTGGGCACTATGTATGGGTCCTGTGAGGGGCCTCCCAGGGCCTGCTAACGCTGCTCGATATCTATCGGCCAGCGTCTTTCTTCTTGAGTGCGACGATGAGGTCACTGGCCATGTCTGTGCTCATCTCCAGCCATGTGCCGACGTCGCTGCTCTCATCTGCCGCCGACACGCGCCAGGTCCCCCGGCCACCAGAGGCTGCTGCTGCTGCTGCTGCCGCCGCCGCGACCGCATCGGTGCCCGACATCTTGCAAATGACACAACAACAGCGAGATCTGCAGATGGCGATATATAAACCAGCACCTCCGATGATGCAAAAGAGGATCAGCCCTCAATGATCCTCACGCAGAAACACAGCATCTGCCCTCAGGGGCCGACCTCGGTGTTCGTACAAAACCGATTAGACTTTGCGAGCTGGAGCTCCAGCTCGCGAGGGGAGAGGAGCCGAGGGGGAGAAGCAGCCCGCGCAGCAGCCCGCCCCACAATGTCAGGCCGAAAAGGCCGCTCCAGCTCAGCCGCCCAGTCACCGCCGCCCCGCCCCGCTTCACGAACCGCACCCAAGAGGAGGGTGTCCACCCTCACCGTAGCCTCTGACAGCGCCGAGTTCGCAAGCCCGACGCCCTACGACGAAAAGTCGCTGCAGCGGGTGAGCGACCTGGAGGGCATTTCTCGTCTCTCGGGGGATTGTGCAGTGCTATATGGTGCTGTTGTGGCTGTATGCGTGGGTTGCAGTCCCCTAGGCACGTGGTCTTCTCGAACGTCGAGAGGAATAGCTGCTTCCTTTCGGTCCTGCTGCAAGGCGTGCTGAGGGTGCGGCCACTGGTCGGCTTCTTGCTAACCAGTAAGAAGCCGAGTCACCCGACAAGGCAGCACAGCACAGCACAGGGCGACAGACGACGCACACACTGACTGCATCCTTGGTTGGACTCCTTCTCTTCTCTGTCTGTCGATCAGGCGGGGCGTCGTATAGCCTGAGGAAGCAGTCCCTCGTTCGTCGGTTCGAAGCCTTCGCTCCAAAGCTCAGCGGTACGTTTGACTGATGCCAACTTATTCAGACAGACAGACAGACAGACAGACAGGTGGAGGCGGGACAAGTCCACCATTGATGCTCACTGCTCTGCCTGTTTGTTGATTCGTGTGTGTGCAGCCAAGGGCCCAGACGGCCTCGGCCGTCTGGGGAGGGGCGGGCGCACCACCAGAGCCGACCAGAAGGCACCGAGGTCGTCACTGCTGTGGGAGACGGTCCTCGTGACAAGGTAGGTAGGAGCCAAGGAAGGAAGCACCACACTTAAGCACCCACCCACAAAGAGACCACAGACAGACAAGGCCTCCCTCGCTCATCTGTCCCTCCCTCTATGTGTGTTGTCTGGCTTGATGGATGGATGCATCAGTGCCATGTGGAGTGTTGGCGACAAGGAGAGGGCATCGAAGGAGCGGGCGGCTGAGCGCAACGGGGTGCTGCTGGACAAGGCCGACTGTCAGAATCTCAAGATCACACCCAGCACCTTCTTCTACACGCTCATGCGGACGTGCCCCAACTTCGGTCAGGCACCGCACGACAGACACAAACACGCCCTCCCTCCCTCCCCCCCTCCCCCCGCCCCCACACACGTCTCCCTCTCTGTCTCTCTGTCTCTCTGTGTGTGCAGGCGTTGGCAACCAGGAGGACGTTGCAGAGGCGACGACCTTCTTTCTGGACACCGTCCACCGCGAGATGCTGGCGGACCAGGTGTCGGACAAGGGGCCTTCCACCGACATCAGCCTCGAGCAGGCGGGAGCCGACCACACCACCGAGACGCCCGTCTCCAAACTCTTCAGAGGTCGGTCCGCACCACCATCCCCTTGCCCAGCCCACTGATTTGTGGTGTGTTTGTCGCTCGCTATTGTTGGTTGCGTCGATCAGGCGTGCAGCGGACGTCGGTGAGGTGCAAGTGTTGCGACAAGGTCAGTCCGCGGGATGAGCCGCAGTGGATCATGTCCGTCCCCATCCCTGACAACCACATGACGGACGAGGTACACACTCACGGTGGACCGTACCGCCCGCACCCACCCATCGGACAGACAGACACAGAGGCAGGCAGGCAGGGAGGGAGGGATGTGTTTGTTGCATCTCTCTGCTCTGTCTGTGCCTGTCCCTCCCTGTGTGTCCTTTGGCAGTCTGCTACCGTTGACGAGTGCATCAGATCGCACTTCGCAGACGAGTCACTGGAGGGAGACGACCGGTGTGTAAGGAGGGAGGCACCTGACCCACCCAATCCAGTCAACACACACAGCACCTGTCGCCTGTGTATCCCTCTGTCTCTGTGTGTCTCTGTGTCTCTCTGTGTATGTGTGTGTGTCAGGTACTTCTGCGAGGCCTGTGGGTGCAAGTGTGACGCCTGCAAGGCCACCAGTTTGTCTGTGGTGCCGGAAGTGGCCATCCTGCAGTTGAAGCGCAACCAGGACCCCAATGACAAGGTATGTACAGGGGCACCACACATACACACACACACAGGGAGAGAGAGGGAGAGGGAGAGCGACAGCCCACACCCCTCCATCCCATCCACCGATTGGTCTGTGTCTGTGTCTCTGCAGGTGGAGACCCACGTAGAATTGCCGTTGGAGTTGGACCTCGACGCCTACGCCGCCAAGAGCGGCTCGGCGGCCGCATCCTCGTCGGACATGCACATCGACGCGGGGGACGGCAAACGGGGGGCACACAAACTGACCGGTGGGTGAGCTCAGCTGAGTGGCGGGAGGGAGGCAGCCATGCGCAATGCACCGCACGTGTGTGTGACTCTCTCCCTCTGTCTTGTGTCTGTGTCTGTGGTCGTCAGCCGTTGTGGTCCACAAGGGTTCGAGTGCTGTTCAGGGTCACTACGCCGTGTACTCCCTCGTGCAGGACGATGGCGACTCCAAGGAGAAAGGTACGTCATGTCACGTCACTGATGGGTGTGTGGGTGCATCGCGTCATTCAACCCACCTTTTCTCTCTCTGCACATGCACACGTGTCCGTCCATCCATCTGTCTGTCTGCCTGTCTGTTATGTGTGTGTGTCACGTGTCGTGTGTCGGCTTGGCCAGCCCCCACAGGTCCATGCAGGCCCCGCTGGTGCCTGTATGACGACTCCCGCCCCGTGGCCGAATTCACCGACGACGACTTTGTCCTCTCCCAGCAGGTGGGCAAGGCAAGGCACCCACTCAGGCCCC